CCTCTTGTCAAGACATTTTTATTGATGATAATTATTGCAGCTATCACATTTTTATGAAAGACATCAGGTGTTTTAGAATCTCCTAGAATGTCTGTCAGGATTGCCAAGAACCTTCTGATGAGACCCAAGTGAACTCTTCCTGTGATAAGGACCACCAAGGTGTTTGAGGGAAGGGTGGTCACAGTGACTAAGGCACACAGGGAAGTGTACTGGCTCTGGACTTGCAACTCAGTGTCTTCGACTTCTTTTGTGGTCAGACAAATTTAGGAAGGGGTGCATACCCTTGCTTTTCGGGATGTTCAAGTCACCAGAACAGCACAGTCCAGGAGAGCTGGTGCCTACTTCAACATGGAAAATTCTGAAAATCTTAGGAGTAAATACATAGTTTGTGCCCACTGGGCCAGGTACAGGGGACAAAAACAACCGCCAGGCTGTTTCCACCTTCACCTTGAATGGAGTATGAAATATCAGAGACAGGTAACATGTCAGCACAGGGGATGATTTTCCTCTGAAAAGAGCAGGCTACAGAAGATGATAATATTTTCCCTAAAATAGATGGCTAGCCCCCTATAAGAGAGTGGGTGTTTGGATTGTTTTATAGATTATGGAGAATAGAGAATCTTGTAAAGGATTGACTAACATCCCATACTAACTGCTCAGATTCATTTAATTAGAGTTCTTTGCAGCCTGGTGTACAAACAGACTGAGAGTCATTCGTGAACAAAGTACCACCTTAGGAAAAGGCAGTGCATCAAAATGAGCTTGATTGCTGAATACAGCGTGTTTCTCTTTTTAACTCTGACTTACTGAAAATTAACAGGCAGTCTTAAAATTTTAGCCATGTCGGAATACATTTATCTCAGTTTCAAGGTGCCTGACGTATCTTGGCGTGCAATTTTGCTTTCATGAAAGTATGAGTTAAAGCTGTCCCACTCAGAGCGTCCGGAATCCCGATGAACTCTTAATTAGGATGTGAAGGGTCCGTCAAAACTAGAGATTCTTTTCTGTGCTGAAAACTGACATGGCCAGGGTTAGAGACGTCCCAGTGGGTAAACACTCTTATCGTGTGTGCAAGATGAGTGGATGAATTTGAATCCCTCAAAGCCATGTGAAAGCTGGATGCACATCCTGACCATCGAGAGAGATGGGAAGTGGCGATGAGACCCCTGGGAAGCTTGCAGGAGAGCCACCCTGACATATGCAATGGCAAGCCAACCAACACAGAGATTCTGTCTCAAACAGGCGGAAGGTAAGGGCCAATACCAGGAGTTGTCTTCAGACCTTCAAATGCACACCCATTTTCATGCATACTAATGTGTGCATGGGCACACACACACACACACCACATGAGGGGGCAGCAATGCTACAGAACAGGTACTCAGCGTGGCATGATTTGTGAGGGAAACATTCTATTTCCCACTCAAACTGCGTGTTGCATGAAACCATCTAAAACCTGTTCAGATATTGTTGAATTTTAAAACCTAGCATGAGCTTCTCAAACAACCAAGCAGAATTATGAGTCTACTGTGGTATGGAGCCAGCCAGTTCTCACTACCTACCACATGCATGTTTTTTGTTTGAGGATTTGATTGGTAGACTGAGACCTGGTGGCCGCCTATGTGTGGACTGATGTTAGTCACCATGTCTTTCATCAGAATACTTTTTGAAGTTGTCCATTAGAAATTTTATGTAGTCATAGTATTTATAGCTTAGAGAAAAGGAAATAAGGCTTTATACAAGGAACTCGCTGCTGTGTGTTCCAAGAAATGCACTATGGGTCTGGGGAATATTGTGTTGTGCTTACAAAGCATGCACAAGGGGTTGATCCCTAGCACTAGAAAACCAGGCAAGAAAGGAAGGAAGAGGGAGGTAAAAGGAGAGAGGGAAATAAAAGGAAGACAGATACTATGACCCATTTTGATACACATGAAAATATGTACATAATGAATATAATTATATATGTTAATGTATACCATAAATGTTTATAGAAATAAAGCTTTCATGGAATGGACTTAAGCTTTTCCTTATTATTTAAACTGCCATCGAATATTTTCACTTCAATTATATTTCCTAAGAGGCTATAGAGATTACTAAACTGACTTCATGGTTCATAGACTGAATACACTGAGCTGAGCGGCCTGCCCATGTCCACTAGTGACTTACTGCAGCATCATTGTAAGTGGGACAGATACTTAAAACGATGCCGATCGTATTTGACCTCCCAGTTAATGTGAAGAATTATACATCCGGTGGTTCATTTGGTCAGGCCAATTTGCTGCGAAATGACCTTTCCTTAAATTGCATTTGCTGAAGGCATGACTAATAGTCCTTTATTGTATTAAAGGCTCAACAAAAATCAGTTGCTAGATGGATGGGCATGTTTTACTCTTTGACATTACATTATTTGAAATGTCAATAGCAATTTACCTTATGGTACCATAAATGGAGGAATTCATACTTGTAGGCTAGATTTTCTAGGAGCTAGTGCCACACCCTGGCTGTGTTGTTTCACATCTTTATATGTGTATATACACACACATGTATGTATATGTAGTGATATGTAAGTAAAGCCTTTATGTCTGGCTTTAAGCGACATATTTAGAAGCGTCTATGTGTCTGACTTGGATAGAAATGTTTCAGCAAAGCCTTTGCTATGTTTGAGTTAATCAATAGAGGCTAAGAATAGAGGTTCGTGTGTTTGGAGACCACTCAAATCTTGGAGAAAGATCTCTCTGGAGACTCTGCACTTGGTGCTGTGGGAGAGCTTGCAGCTGCCCTGACCTTGGTTCTAAGACACTCCTGGCAGCCCTGGCTAAACTCTCCCGGCAAGCCATGATCGAAAGGGACTAAGATCTGTGTGGGTTGTCTGCTTTCATGGGCAGCAAGAGCAAGATAACTTTGTTAGCTGGAACCTTTCCCAGCTTCACCTAACCTTTTGTGTTTGAATAAAGTAACTGGAGTGAGCTAGCTGGGTGTCAATGTTTTCCAAGAAAGCTGAACCCCTTTGCTTCGTCGGAAAATGAAGGCTTAGCATCTTGGTGAGCTTCTCTATGTACTGCGGCACCTATGACCCAACATCAAACAATATGTATATGTGTATATGCATATGTGTGTGTGTTTGTGTGTGATATGTGTATATGTGTGTATTATATATTATATATATTTGCATATGCATATATATTTGGATTTTCAAGGCAGGGTTTCTCTGTGTAGCCTTGGCTGTCCTGGAACTTGCTCTGTAAATCAAGTTGGACTCAAACTCACAGAGATCCTCCTGAGTGCTAGGATTAAAGGCGTGTGCCACCACCACCTGGCCTAAAACAATACATTTAAGATAATAGTTTGAAGCAAATATAAGTAATACTTTCTGAGGCAGTTGTTCCAAAATTTAGGGTCAAGATTTTTTTGAAATTAGAATGAAATCTATGATTTGCCTGCCAGAGTAGACAAATACTATCCCGGCCAGCAGGATACGAACGGTGGTCCCTGATAAACCTAGGGGAGAGGAATGGAGGGGCAAGAGACAAGGAAAATGGCAGCAAGACAGGATTTCTGATCAAACCACCGTTTATTATTCCTCAGAAGCTGTTATATAGCAGACGGGCAAGGGGGAGGGGAGATGTGTCAGGTCTGCTGGAATTCGAGTCCAGAAACATCCCTAGCTGATAAGTAAATACTGGAGGTCTGTGATTTTTGACTAACAAAGAAAATGCTAATGTTTTCTAAAAACCTGGTGCCTGCAGGTCTCACTAGGTTAACATCCTAGTTCCAGAACTTGCCTGCAAAGGTGAATATCTTACTTGTGAACTTAGATGGCTGTAAACAAAATGCAGATTTCAAAGTACAGGTCTTTGCTTCTGGCAAAATTTACTGTTATTGTTGTTGTTGTTGTTGTTGTTTTCGAGATGAGGTTTCTCTGTGTAGCTTTGGAGCTTCTCCTGGCACTGCCTCTATAGACCAGACTAGCCTCTGGTCTACAGGGATCCGCCTACCTCTGCCTCCTGAGTGCTGGGATTAAAGGCGAGTGTCACTACTGCCCAGCAAGTAGACAAATTTTTAATTGTGTGGTGTCAGCATGTGAGTCTTTCACTTGAATGGTTTACCCACTAGTCACACTATAGCTTCAAGTCAGTCAGAGGCTCTTACAAGTACCCTTATAAGGGGGATGGACAAAGCGCTCAGTGTTTAAGAATGCTTGCTGCTCTTCTAGAGAACCCTAGTTCAGTTGGAAGAACCTACATGGGTGGTTCACAAACACCTATAAATAACTCTAGTTCCAGGAGATCTGACACTCTATTCTGGCCTCTATGGGTACCCCCACGTATGTACAAGCACACACATACACAAATAAATATATATAGTAAAATATTTTTAAGACAGAGGAATGAACAAAATACCACACTTGGTACAAACCCTTATGTTTAGTCTCATTCAGCTGTCCTATCTCCTGGATAAAGATTAGAACTAATATAGGAGGTGAGCCTGTCCATATGTCTGCCAGCAAAGCACATCCGCCCTGCTGTGAGGGAGCAGGGACTAAAGATGGCAGATGGCCCCCTAGGGGTATTTACAGCAGAGCCCAAAGTTCCCACCAGTCATATGGATGAGACACATCACAGTGCTTCTCTTCGCTTTAATGAATCAATTAGGGTACTTATTTTAAAAACCACCAGAATGCTGTAACTTTTAATAATTATCACGTAGACTGTCCAGCCCTGAGCACAAACTCCATCTGAATTGCAAGCAAAGCTGTAAACCACATTAGTGGGGAACCACTGCCACCTTCTGCCCGCATAGCTTAATTGCAATTCCAAGTTTGGGCGAGACAGTAATGCACCTGTGTTCGCCAGGGACACTTACTAAAAAGTGATAGAAAATGCACCTCGCTTGCTGTGCCAGGGATGGGAGAGGATATGTCTTGCTACCGTTGGCCTTGCCCCCCCCACCTCACCTTAGCTGTCCCAGGCCCAATCTCATGTGTTCTCTGCACCTCTTGGCAGGATCGGAGGCGCCATTCCTACTGTGTTCTCCTACTTCGCTGAAGTCCTAGCCCGGGAGAAGCGGGGTGAGCACCTCAGTTGGCTCTGCATGTTCTGGATGATCGGTGGAATCTACGCGTCAGCCATGGCCTGGGCCATCATCCCACACTACGGTAAGGGACCTGCCATGTTTCAGCTTCTCTCTCCATCCGCTTCCGCTCCACCCCGAGCTCTGGCTTGGGGACAGTACTGTCCTCGTCAGGTGTCTGCCACTCATAATGCTCTCCATGGGGAGGTCTGTACAAAGACGGTGTCAAATGGTCCTTTGGGCATGTGGATAGAAGAGGCAGGACTCCAGGGCTGGTCTTGCGCAGTGAGAGTCGGTGGTCACCCATCCTCCACTTTCCCCATAGCTGCGATTCCTTCAGGTTAACGTGTCTGACACTGTCTATCTAGGTTCAGAGTCAGGTCCCGCAGGTTGAGGATTCAATCCCGCACGACTGACCCGTTTCTGATGCTTCCGATGCCAGCTGAAAGCCCAGGCCTCCTCTGAGTGACCAACTAGAAGCTGGAGCTTTCCATAATCCTCCTCCTCATGTGCAGCTGATTTCTATAATGGCTCACAGATCTCAGGGAAATGCCTACCTCGAATTTCCCAATTTATTATCAAGGACGTTACAGAGGATACAAGTGAACTGCCAGATGCCGACATATGGGGAGAGCAAAGAACCACACCTCCTCCAGGTTCACCATTCTCCATGCGTTCAGCAGCAGGGAACTTCCAATCTCATAGTTCATGGTCAGTTAATAACCCAGGCTTTAACCAGAGGACGGGGTGCATAACTGTGGTATGTCTTTCTGGTGACCTACTCTACACAAGAGCACATCAAAACTAGGCTCATCTACACAAAGTCATCCCTATCTCCCAGATAACTCCAGAGGGTGAGGTCTCTTCTTCTGAGCTGAGAATGAAGTTCTGTCACAGTTGCTACCAGGAATCACAATAGTACAGTCAGGGTCAACATCTGCCACAGTTGCTACCAGGAATCACAGTAGTACAGCCAGGGTCAACATTTTTCTCTTCTGTCGCCCTCACTCTCGTGTATTTGCTGTAGCTGTCGAGCCTGACTTAGGGTTGAAGCCAGATTCCCACAATTCAGGAGGGACACAGACACTCCATAGGGCATTATCCGGAGTAACCACATCAACCATCAACGGCGTTTATAGAGATGTGACCTCCCACCTCTCTTGAGACTGTCATACACTTCAGATGCACACAGGTGCCAGGTCTGTGTCAGCCAGGCCCTGTCTGTCTTCAGACAACTCAACGAGCAAGACTGCGCCTCACAGACCATGATCTGCAGCACATAAGTGCTGACACTGCCTAGCCAGCCTCCAGACCCTCTTGTCTGTTTCTCCTCAGCCATTGCCATGCCTGCTTCCATGAACAGTAAAGTCCCCATTCCGAGCAATACTCTCAGTCTCAGAAAACTCAAGTTTCAAGTTGCTTCATCTGTATACAAACAGTGAAGTACAGAAATCAACAGAACCCAAGAATCAAACTCAGTGTGCAGGAAGAAGGAAAACTAACTCCCCTTCCTTTTTCCCTCTCTTTCTCCCTCCCCCATCCTCCTCTCCCACCCCTTTGAACAAGCTAATGCTTGAAAAGTAGAAATATTATATAAATTCAAATTACGCGTGACTTCAGACTGGGGGGCCAGGGATGTGTCTCAGTGGCAGAGTGCTTGTCGGACATATCCAAGGACCTGTATCCAGACTCCTGCATTGAAAAACAAACAAACAAAAACATGACCTACTCTTAGTTCTTAAAATCTGATAAACCAGGCCAAATTAGATTACTTTTTAAATGCAATTGCTTATTTTCTATTCTTATTTATTTTGAGAACAGTACAATTTCTCATGCTAAAGCATAATTTTGAGAGGTCTCCAGCACACAGAGACAGATGGGGGTATCCCAAGGTGCTGTTGTTTGCTTTGCCGTATTGAGTACAGATATTGGGTTGTCTCCATCTTCCTTCTGATAAACCTAAAGAGTTATGTAAAGGCCAAAATCGTATTTAAAAACAAGAACAAAAATCAAGACAAGGATTGTCATGGTCTGTAGAGAGCTTCCCTTTGCCGAGTGCTGAAGTTGTGGATGACGTGCTAGCCCAAGTGGTTTCCACCTGATTCTGGGCCAAAGGTGCCTTCGGTGGCCAGTTCCTCCAGAACTGTCTTCGGTCACCATCCAAGGAAGCAGAGATTGTCTCCTTCACCTGGGACCTCAGGACCTCAGCCACCCTCAGAACCTTAGATTGTAGAGCAGCATTGAGTCCAGGCCCCTCTCAGCTCAGATTAACATTGAAAGAATGTTAATTCTTTCATGAGAGGTTACTCTGTGAGAACTAGAGAAGGTGAAAAGGAAATGCAGACCTTCTGCCAAGTCCAGCCTTACTCGCCATGGTTCTCAGAGCTACTGCTGATCCACTCACACACAGCCCTTTTAACCATTAGAGTAAGGTGCTTGGCTCAGTGACTAAGCATATGTATTGCTTTTGCAGAGGACCTGAGTTCAGTTGCCATCACCCACATCAGACAGATTGCCACTGCCTGGTAACTCCAGCTGCAAGGGTAGCCAACATCTCTGGCCTCCATGGGCACTGGTGGCCCTCATGTGCACATACCCTCAGCACAAACAAACACATACAAGTAATTAAAAATAATAGAAATAAATCCTTAAAAAGTAAGGTGGTAAGGTGCCCTCTGGGTGGGCAAAATTATATCCTCATTCATCATTTTTGCATGGGTTCCAGGCAGATTCAGATTGCTCTCTCTCTCTCTCTCTCTCTCTCTCTCTCTCTCTGTCCCTCACTCACTCTCCTCTTTCTCTCTTCCCTTCCCTCCCTACCCTCTGCCCTCTGCTCCCACTTAACCCTCTCTAAGCCAGCCTTCTCCTTTGTCCTGTCCTCCTATGACACCTCCTTTCCTTGGCTATAGCCAAACCTCTCTGGAACTCCTTGGTTCCTTGGGTTTATTGCAGATCCCTTCCTGGCCCTCCCTTCCCATCATATCACTCAGGGGCTCATCTGCTGGTCACGCAGCTAAGGCCAGGTATTAACTTCTGCAAGCTGTTCATTGCTTTTCTTTTGCTTTCGCTGCTAAGGATTCAGCTCTTCTGATTTGCCCTTATACTTCCCTTTCTTGCAATTGTGCATGGCCTGATGGCCTGAGAACCTTTTTCTTTGCAGTGCATCGGTGCCTAATACCCAGGAATCAGCGTATGCAAGCTCTGCCATTTTAATATCAAAAAAGGACAAACTGATTCATCCACAACTAACCCACCTATCAAAACTAATCCATCTCTAACTAATCCATCTCTGGCTGTCATGGTAGAAGGTCACACATCACAAAGTCACTTGTGTAAAGTGAGAATGCAACAAGATGAAATGTCTGGGATGACTTTAAATTTTGATGATGTGGGTGGAACCTTGAGAAGTAACGGCCTGGGCAGTAAAGCAGTCACGGAATATTAAAATCTTGGGGCTGGATTTTCTTAAAGTCTTTCCATGGTCATAAGTTGGCCATGAGCCAACAACATATCACCTCAATCAACCCTGTCTGCAGGTTAGAACCAGCGGGGTGAATCCTTGTGAAACACCCTTGCTGAAGTCACTGCTATGCTCTTGTATGGTAGAGTCTTGTTTGCTTTTGAAAATTTAAAATCCAGATGCTCCTTTGATGAGGTATCTGCCAGTGAGTCTTCTATCTGTCCTATGGGTGGGTTATTTCCAGTGCGCTCCTTCCCAGAATCCCCTAGCCAGGTGCTTAAGAATTGTCTACATCTATGGAAAATACACTCTTCTGGAAATGTTTTCAGTAAGCCTTCTACTTCCCACAATCAAATCAGATCCTCCAGGCTAAGGATTCAGTGGTGTCTTTATTCTTATTCTTTTTAGCATAAAGTAAGTATGACTGACAAATACAAATTATATATAGTTGATGTTCACAACCTAACTCTGTATACATGCAAGATGGCTCAGCCAATAAAAACTCTTCTCATGATCTGAGTTAGACCCCTGAAACCCACATGATGGTAGGAGAGAATTGACCAAAGCTGTCATCTGAACTCAGTATGGACACCAAGGCACACACACATGTATACACATACACAACACAAAATAAATAAATAAAAGCAAAAAATAGTTTTAAAGAAAATCAAGCATTAAATGTTTAGGGGGAAGCTTTATTTTCACTGGAAATTCTGTTTTGTATGAATGATCCAGAAGCCCATAGAAACAGGAGCAGGTCATTTGCTTCTCCTCCGCTTCTCCATCCTTTCTCACTGAGGAGATGTTTGAGGACTGCTGTTATTGGAGGGTTGTGTATGGATGCATTTGAGAACACAGCACAGTGACTTGAAGTTTGGTGTTGATATTCTCAAATGGAGGGAAAGTGTGGATAATCGGTTTCCACATTGTAGATATGCTTCTGGTGAATGAGTGCACACATTAGTGTGGCTCATGCACACACGGCCCTCTTGATGGCTTCTATGCCAGGTGCTTCTTTCCTGTCTACAGGACACAACCATCAGTAGGGAGCCTGAGCCTGATGTCACTGAGATGCAGTGGCTCCACACATGTCTCCAAGGCAAAACAGACCTTATGTTTGGTCCAAGGATTCTGAAAGGATTCTTGAGCAGTTAGATACACCACCAGAGGGTTTGATGGCTTCATGTCCTGGTGAGTTAAGACACGAGCTGCTAATGCTAGGAGCTAATGCTAGGAGCTAATGCTAGGAGCTAATGCTAGGAGCTAATGCTAGGAGCTAATGCTAGGAGCTAATGCTAGATAATGGGATCGACCTAGTTTTTGTACCAGTATCAGATAATGATGGCATTTTCTCTCACATTATCAGTCTTTGGTAAAGTTGAAACTTTACCCAGAGATGGGTAGTTGCTAATATCTGAAGGTTTCCAGCATAAACTCTCACACCTATAATCCTAACACTAAGCAGGGCTGAGACAGTAGGATTTCCGTAAGTTCAAAACCCTCTGGGCTACATAGTACATTTCAGCACAGCTTGGGCTACACAATGAAGCCCTACCTTGATCTCCATTCCCTCTTCCTCCCCTTACCCCACCTTCCTCTGCCGGACCAGCTAACTAGGTGTAGGG